CAGCCCTGGAAGATGATGTAAAAGGAAAGGTTTGGCTTTCAACTAGAAACAGGTCAGTTCCTGTCTCTACCCTGCCTTCCTGGCCACCTCTGGCTGCCCAGGATTTGCTCCCAGCACATCCACACCCCTGGGTGTCCACGGCATCCCCCACACAACACCCCAGGCACGGTGCCCTCTCCGTGGCAGCCATGGGAGCTGTCTGGGAAGGCTCCAGGTCTGCTGAGGTCCCACCTGTGCACCCTGTGGTTCCCTTCTTGACGAAGTAGCCGAGCTGGCAGTGGCAGATGAAGGAGCCCTTGGTGTTCTCACACTCGCCGTGCAGGCAGATGTTGGGGTTGAGGTCACACTCGTTCACATCTGCAGGAGGAAAAGAACCATGGAGCACCACAAGGACTCTGGGGCAACCCTCTGCATCCCTTCCTGCATCCACCACAGTCCTCACCAATGCAGGTCTTCATGTCCAGGGATGCCATGAAGCCGTCGAAGCAGAGGCACCGGTACTCGCCGGGGATGTTTGTGCACTGCCCCCCATCACAGATGTCAGGATTATCCTCACACTCATCGATGTCTAGAGAGGGGAGACCATTGCCAAGGTAAACAGGATTGTGGAAGCCCAGGAGGGAGGCACAGGAGGGGCTTTGCTCCAGATCCTGCAGTTCCAGGAGCCCACGAGAGGGGCTGGACAGGAAAATCACCCCTGGGGAATGGGCTCAGAAACGAGACTCCCTCAAAAATGAGACTCCCTCGCCCTGAAGCGGCCACAGAGGTGCCTGGGGCAGCACCTCCGAGGGCTGAGGTGGGCACTGACCTGCACAGGACCTCTTGTCTGGCATGGGCACTGACCTGCACAGGACCTCTTGTCTGGCAGGGGCACTGACCTGCACAGGACCTCTTGTCTGGCATGAGCGCGTAGCCCTCGCTGCAGCTGCACTCGTAGCTGCCCTCCGAGTTGGAGCAGTGGGTGTCACAGCCCCCGTTGGTGATGGTGCACTCGTCGATGTCTGGGGACAAGGGACAGGTCAGGCAGCAGTTTGGGTCGTGGGTTGGGGTATGTGCCTCGCAGCAGAGGTGCTGAAGAGGACACCAGTGCCTTCCCCCCAACCACAGCCACCCACACTCCCTCCCCGGCAAATTTGGCTGTCGCTCAACCGGGAGGTTCCCCCCTCGTCCAACCCTCCAACGCCCCACTGAGGGTTACAAATAACAGACAAGACACCAGGAGGGCTCTGGGTTCATCCTGGGGCCCTGGAATGACTCTTTGGCACAGAGGAGGACTCACCAACACAGCCCTGCCTGTCCAGCGTGGCCTGGAAGCCCGAGTCGCACGAGCACTGGTAGGTGCCGATGACGTTGACGCAGCGCCCGTTGCGACACAGGTTGTCACTGAGGGAGCACTCGTTGATATCTGGGGGGGGGAAGAGCAGTTGGAGCAGCCAGTTGGGCTGATTCCCACCCTGGGAATCTCCTGGTGCCCACCTCGGGGTCTCCAAACTGAGTTTGTTGTTGCCCTGTTGGTCAGTGCTCAGTGAACAGCAGAAGGAACAACGTACATGGAGTAAAACCCTGGGAACAACACTGGTCCCTCCTGGGTGAGGGTGTTCTAACCATATATTACAGAATCACAGGGTGGTTTGGGTGGGAAAGGACCTTAAGGATCATCTCATTCCACCCTCTGCCATGGGCAGAGACCCCTTCCACCAGCCCAGGCTGCTCCAGCCTGGTCTCGGGCGCTTCCAGGGAAGAAGATATTCGTACCCCCGGCACGAGACCTGAGTTTCCCTGCGTGATTCCCCTCGAACCCTCGCTGTGACACAGGTTTCCAGCCTCTCACCTATGCAGGTGTTGCCCTCAGCTGTCAGCTCGTGGCCAGGGGGGCAGATGCATTCGAAGCTGCCGTCGGTGTTCATGCAGATCCCGCCCCGGCACAGCAGCGGGTCCCGCTCGCACTCGTTGATATCTGCACACAACGACACCAGTTGTCCCCTTCCAGAGGGTTTTCCAGCTAACAGGGCAGTGCTGGTGCCAGCAGCACAGTCCCCACCACCAGAGGGACATCCCAAAAAGCACAGGGATGTCCCAAAATCACCCGGGATTGGGCGAGTCCAGTGGACTCCTGGTTGAAATCACAACCTTGACCTCAGCGGGACATACAGTGTGACATCAGGAGCAAGGACATTATTAGCTTTGTGCAGTTGAGCCAGCAGGGACTAGAAGGATAATTCCCAGCCCCCCCATCCCAGTACATTTTCACAAATCCCATCAGCAGGGGAAGAATTCCTTGGAAAACGTCTGGTTGGTTTGATAGAACCAACAGACCTTCTTGGTAAGAGCCTCCTGAGCTCCAGTGTCACATGGGGGGTAGGAAATAACCCCCACATTGCTGGAAAAAATCACATGTGGACCAAAAAGATGGAATTTACAAGGAACTGGAGAAATCCCTGGAACAGGTGAAACTACTGGGAGAGAGACGGGATCCGTTCAAAATGAAAAATAAAAAACAAAAGGGTTAGAAAAGTTTGTAAATGCCAGGCTGGAAAACCCAAACAAGGGAAACTCCTGGAATGGTGAAGTGGTGATGGCTGGAAACAAAAAAAACAACACAAGGAGGAGATGAAAAGTCTGGAGCCTTGTTATCAGTGGATTATCCATGGAGAGAGACCTTGGAGAAGGCTCTTTGTGATCTTCTGAGATGCTGTCCAGGCAAGTCTTTATGTGCTTCACAGTCACATTCCTTGGAAAGGGCAAGTGCTGGGATGAATCTGATCCTTTAACTTTTGGAAGAGGAGTCTGAGGTTCTTTATTCTGGTCCCAGAATGAAGTTTGTCAAAATCAAAAGATTTTGGGTTCTTGAATACCCCTAGAATTGACTGGAGATGTCCTGCAGTGACAGGAAGAGGGTAAAAAAAACCAGGGAAGCCTCCCTGGAAGTGCTCAGAGGATTCATCCACAGCTGCACCCTGAGATATGGGAATTGAGAGCACAAAGCCTTTGGGTGCAACAGGAAGGAGCTGAGGGAGCTAAAAATCTCCCCCAGAAACCCCTCAGTGCCAGCAGAGACAGCGAGGGAGGTTGGATGTGTGGGAAGAACCCAGTTTCTTCTCAGGTGTTTATTTTTCAGATTCTAAACTTGAAATTAAGAGGGGGATATTGCACCTTCCTTGGATAAAACACTCTGATGGGATCTTCAGGTTATCCACAGCTACAGGGGACTGGGATCCACCCAAAAATGGGGGTGACAGGTCCTTATCAAACACCCCCCAGGAGCTGTGCCTCGGGTTCTCCACGGTGGGAGCCTATTCCTGGTGAGTTCCAGGCTGCATTTCCCCTGCCCTTGTTGTCATCCACAGCCACAGGCTGGAAAGAATTCCTCCCTCAGGAGGCTGGAGGCAAACAGAGGTGGGAAAAAGCTAATCCTGGAGCAGAGGAAAGGCCATAATGGCACTTGGGGGTGAGGTGGCTCAGCTCTCTGTCACCTCAAGGACAAGGTGGAGTTGGATTTAATATAATAATGAGCAGATAATAACGAGCTTTAAAAAAAAGAAGGACAATGAAACAACATCTTTATATAAAGATATTAGACATCCCACTGCTGCAAGGAGCCAGCAGGCTGTTGGAGGGGACTGTGACAGTCTCAGTGTCTCAGAGGAGGAGGAGGAAGATGATGAGTGGGAGCTGTGGGAACCCACACCACAAACTGCACGGAAAAAACAAACCCCAGGCCAGTGGCAGGGCAGGGATTGGTTTCAAAGAACACAGAGAATAAAACATGAAAAATAAATAAATGGTGTTGAATCACACCGAGGGCTGAAGTGGTTTGAAAGTCCAAGCCAAGGCAGAACATCAAGAGTAGGTCAGTGAGACAAGTGAGTCTGGCTGGACAGACGAGGAAAAGAACATGGAATGCCAGGAATTAGAGGACAGCAAGAGTCTGGCTGAGCTGTTGGAGAAGAACTGAGGTACTGAGGTCACTGATGGGATGTTTTAAGCTCCAAACAAGAATTATTAAATTGAAAACAGATGAGACTCTGACAGAGTAAAAACAAGCACGAGGTGGATGGGAGGAGCTGTAAAGAATTATCTGAGGATAAAGGACCATGAGCTGGGCAGGTGAAAGGAGCTTTTACAATTACAGCTGAAAAGTGAGTGGGGCAGGAGAGTGTGTGGATGGTCTACCAGAACTTCTCAGGAAGGAATTAATCCCTGAAAATGTCTGGGGAGCTGGGCAAGGACCTCTTTCATGGCTGAGGCTGGTATGGAACTGCTGCAGAGCCCAAGGAAAGGTGTAGATTAAATATCACACACAGTGATATTTAAATATCACATAAAGTGAGACCAGGTTGAGAGACATTTTAGAAGAGATTCAGTGGAAAGGAGCCCAAGAAAAACAGGATGAATCAGTAAGGTTCTGAGCTGGAAGAGACACAATCCATCTCCTGGTGGACCTCTTGCTCAGCAAGGTGTATCTCCATGTCCTCCTGCCAGGGGAGGCATTTGATTTGATTTGATTTAATAATGACACGTGGCTGGAGGATGGACCATGACAGCAGTGCTATAAAGACAGAAGTTTAATTTATCTCCTAATTTCCTGTTGCTGAGGGGAGAGAGACCCAGCCAGGGTCAACCCCCTCCTCCTGGCCAAGGGCAGGTCCTTTTGAAATGAGAGCAAGGCCTAAAAGAGTTAACTGAGGGATCTTGCTCTGTTGAGAAACCCCCCCTGACACCTGCTCTGCCTGTGCTGCTGAAGAACTCGTTCTGTTCTGCTCACTGGACCCAAACCTAATCACAAGAAGAAGGAAGGCTGGAAATGCTACACAATCAACCTAGAGGTCATAAATTAAGGCAGGGTAGACATCTGACTAGGAGAAAAGGGCTTAGAGCCAAGGGTTTCTGCAAGCTTCAGTAGTCAGGATGTTAACAACAGAAAGGTGAGGAGGTCAAAGTGAGAAGGAAGAGAAACAGGCCCCCAGTTTGAGGCTGAAGGCTGGAACAAGCACCAACACTCAGTGCCAAGAGAAAAAACTGGGAAGCACCACCCTAAGCTCCACCCAGACCCCGCCTGTTATTAATATGTATGATTAGATGTTGTAATCATGTGAATATCCACGTTAAAATGTTGCAATCGTGTATGCAGACTGTATAAATCCCCTGATTTTTGCATCGGTGCTGGCCTAGGTTAAAAAGGGCTGAGGGGTGAGAAGAGACCCCCTTGTGTGTGATGGAGAGAGAGAGAGATTTCAGCTGTGACAACTCCAGCTACGACTGCTGCTTTGAAGAGGAGAGACACTGCTGCCCTGAAAGTGGAAAGGATCTTTCCTTCTTCCCTTCTGAGGGAGAGATTTGATCTAATGTAAATGTTGCTTTACCATAGGAGAGAGAGTTAGAATTGTGTCTATCATGTATTATAGTATTTATTTGTGTAATAATTGTAATATAACTCCCTTCCCCCCCGTACTGAGTTGTGTCATGTCTGGAAAAACCTCTCACACTGAAGTGAATTGTGGGAGGGGGGCTTGGCCTTGGAAACTGGATTTCTGAGGGTCTCAAACTACAACAGGCGCCTTCGAGCGAGTTTGCCCGGCGCGGGTGAATAAACACCTGGCTGCTTGCTCAGAGACAAAAAGCTCTTAATTCTGAGGGTTTTTTTTTTCAGCCTCACTTACCCATGCAGTTCTTCATCATCATGAAGCCGCTCTCGTAGCCCTCGAAGCACTCGCACTCGAAGCTGCCCGGGGTGTTGACGCACGTGCCGTGGCCGCACAGGTCCGGCGAGATGCGGCACTCGTCGATGTCTGTGGGGAGAGGGACATGCTGCCTTCAAAATCTGCATCCCATCATTATTATTTATGTTATTATTATTTATATTATTTATATTATCCTGGCCTGCATCAGGAGCAGTGTGGCCAGCAGGAGCAGGGAAGTGACCCTTCCCCTGTGCTCTGCGTTGGTGAGACCACACCTAGAGTGTTGTGTTCAGCTCTGGGCCCCTCAGCTCAGGAAGGATATTGAGGTGCTGGAGTGGGTCCAGAGAAGGGCAATGAGGTTGGTGAAGGGACTTGAGCACAAGTCCTATGAGGAGAGGCTGAGGGAGCTGGGGTTGTTTAGTCTGGAGAAGAGAAGGCTTAGAGGCGACCTCATCACTCTCTTCAACTCCCTGAAGGGAGGTTATAGCCAGGTGGGGGTTGGTCTCTTCTCCCAGG